GCTAAGGAGTTAAGTATGACCTAGCTCAAATTTGACACATCGAGCTCATCTCATGAGCTATTTACTGAGCCGAATAAGAGCTAGCTCAACTCACTTAAACATATTCTTTCTATTCAGAGCCATTATTTGGATGGTGGGTTGTTGCTTGCTAGGTATCTTCTGTTTAGTTTGTGACTTGTTACCTTCAATGGATGGCCCTTGCTTGGCTTGCGGGTGGTTGCAGGAAGCTTCATGGCACTTCCAGAGTTTGGCTGGTATCTTCGCCCTTTGTTCCCTAGTCTTATTGTATCCTTGCAGCCTTTCTTGCACCTTTTTTTGGGGGTTGCTTTCTTTTATTGTATTTTTCTTGTAATTTTGTTTTGTACTTCTAGAGTTTGGTTGTACTCTCTTCTTTAGTGAATAAATTTGGTCTAGTTCCCTTTACAAAAAAAAAAAAAACCTAACTGTTCTAACACTTTGCTCATAAAGATTAAGAAAACCCAATATCTCAAAACTAAAATGGTAGAATTTTTCCTTTTAATTTTTAATTTCAGCAAAGTATTGATGTTTGAAGAGGAGAATAGAACTCTCCAAATTCAAGGAGGTAGTTACTCTACCTTTAACTATAAGGACTTAAGAGTTTTGACATTCTTAGGTTGGGCCGGCAAAATACTTTGCTCGAAGGACTTAGTGGAGGCTTTCGCTGGCAATTTTTTAGGTTTTTCTCCCTGGCGTTGCTGCTCCTTCTAGGCGTTGTCCTCTGCCTGGGAGAGGCCCCCTCTCCCTCCACTGCAACGGCCCTAAATTCAAATGACTTTCCACCCCTTCCAAACTCTTCCCTTCAAGTCCCACCTCCCTCTTCTCCGGCCTGAACCTGGGCTGGCAACCTGGCTGGGCCTCCCTCAGATCCTGAAGTTTTCCCCATGTCTTTTGTTCCTCCTAGCTTGAAGCTCTCCTTTAAGTCTAGTGATCTTACATAAGGTTTGTCTCTTTGGTCTCTCTCCCTAACGGGTTTTTGTGGTTAAACATTTTGTTTCCCGGTTTTCCATTATGTTCTCTTTCCTATAGGTCTAGTCTGTTCTCTTGTTCATTTCGCTTTGGTCTTCCTTCTAGATCTTTTTTGTAATTATTTGTGATTAAGATACGGTTAAAGCACCAAAATTTCTCCAAAAAAATACATTCTTAGGTTTCAATGTCATGAGTTTTACAGAGTCATTTTCCCTTTCAAATACTATAAATAGCCATACTTTGTATTGTTTTAATGTCTTGTCTATCACTTCTACCTTTCTTTATCATTTAATATCATAGAACGCACTACTCTGCCAAAAAAATTTAGTTTTATTTGCTTCACAAACAGTCATATGAAAAAATACTAGTGTGATTAAGGAGAAATAGAGAAGAACCTAGGGGGTACGGTTGATCCTATAAAGATCTTAAGGGTTTTGATCCTATTCAAAGAAGATGAAATTTTGAGGGGACTAATCATTTATCTTATTAGGAATATTGTAACTCCCTATGCTCCTCTTCTCATCTCTATATTACATGTCATTATAAAGAGATGACTAAGGTTTTATTTGGGATAGCTTTCTTATTGCTTCATAAAACAACTTCTTAGTATAAAATTTTAAATTTTGGTACTAAAAATTTGCTTTAAAAAGCAGTATGAAAGCCATCAGACAGTCTTTTACTACTTTTTTTTTAGCTTTCAAAAATATTTTATGTACTAAAAAATTGTTTTAAAAAGTAGTAATAAAACTATCCCAAACGAGACATAATATTAGTGTGTATTTGATCGAGCTAAGATAAAGATGGAGTAAGAAAAACTATTTTTATTGGTATGAGTTCATAAGTGAGAGAAAACCAATCTCTATACGTAAAAATCTGCTTTCCTAATTCAAAAAAATCACAAAAAAACTACCATCCCTCTATATTATTTTTAATAAATGAGAATTTTAATTTTACACTCAAAATGAAAGAAAATAAAATTCTTAATTTCTAAAACTTCTTTTTCATTTACAAGATACCAAATGAGCACTACAAACACCACAAAATTATATTTAGGTTTTGTTTGGGACAACTTTCTTACAATTTTCTAAAGCAATTTTTTAGCATAAAATTTAAAATTTTAATATTAATTAATTCAATACAAACCATTATTTTGCATTGACAACATTGCACTGATAAGTGAAAAGACTAATGATTCAAAACCAAAGTAATAACTTAGATAATGTGCATATAAAATAAATTATTTTTATGGTTCCATATCTACAATTACTTTATGAAGTATACCATAAACATAATTTCAAATATAAGGTAAAAATAATGCATTCTAAAATAATACATATTCAAAAGTTAGTCTTCGTTTGGAATGACTTTCTTACTTCTTCTTAAAACAGCTTTTTATTATAAATTTTTGTACTAAAAAGCTGCTTTAATAAGTTGTAAGAAAACAATCCCAAGTAAAACCCTAATTCCAATAATTATCTTCTACAAAATCAACATATAATTTATTAATTAACAATTTGTTTTGTATCTTCAAAAGCTCTCCTAGGCGATTCTGACGCTCCTGGGCCGTTTGGGACGTGCGCTCCTCGATTCTCCAGGGATGTGTTCTCGTCCATTGTTTTCTTTTTTGTGGTGATTTTGGTTTTCATTTTGTTTTCGTTTCGGCATCTCCGACCTTTTCGTCGGAATGGTGGGGAAACGTTTGTGTTATCCTGGCTTTTTGGACTGATCGTTCAAATCTCGATCCTTTCATGATGCTCTTGTTGGTTGTTCATCCTATGGTAGATTTTCTGATCTCAAGTCTTCTCCCTTTCGTGATTTGCTATCGTTGTGGATTTCGGAGGAAGAAATCAATTCCCTTGTGATTCCTTTTTAGTTTTCCTTAAATGGTTTTTTTCCATCTTATAGGCTTTCTCTGGAAGCAATTCGTAGGTTTTTTTTCTCCCTTAAGCTTACCAGAGCTATTTCTGTTACTTTGCTTGATCAGTTGCATGTCTAGATCAAGTTGAGTAATGACCTTGATTATTATAAAATTTGTTGTCATCATTCCTACTTAGTTCATAGTTGTTATATGAAGGTTACCAAATGGTCCCTTCTGGTTGATGTTATTGTTGAGTCACCTATAATCCTTATCCAGATGTCATTCCTCAATCTCCGGCCTCATTTGTTTTCACCATGTATCCTCTTTGGATTGAGTTTGATTTTTTGTCGGCCTTTAGAGGTTGATTATACTATTTTTGTGGATTCTAGACCGTCTGTAGCTCGTGTGCTTGTTGAGCTTGACATCACGAAATCGTATCCCGATAAAGTCTGGTTGGGTCCTGAGAATCTAGGCTATATTCAACATGTTTCGATGGAAGCTTTCTCTGCTTTTTGTGCTTCATGTAAATGTATAGCCATTTGTGTGGTGACTATCAGCCTCTTCAGTCTACCCCGCCTAATGTTGTTCATGTTATTTCTAAATCATTGATTGTGAATGTTAGCTGTGAGGGTGATAGGGTGGAAAATTCTATTTCTTGTGATGCCAGTGATGGGGCTTTAGTTTTGTGTCCCATTGTTAGTATTGACGGGAATGTTGCTGGCATTGACACTATTCTTACTAATTTTGTCGATGAAGTCATTAATATTATTTCTATTTTGCCTAACGATTTGAATTTAAATTGTGTTGTTGGTGAGGCTCTTCGGCCTGTTTCTGAGATTGGTTGTGTGGTGGTGCCTGAATTGGACGATGTACCTATTGCTAACGTTGATGCACTGGCTAATCTGGCTACTCCATCGCCTGTTCTGGATGGGGTTATGGTTCCTGTGGACTGCTCTAACTTTGTTGTCCCCATTTCTGATGGGGATGTTGGGGAGCCCTCTGCGCTTGTTTGTGAGTCATTGAACGCTATTAACTGTGGCATGAACCTGATAGTCCTACTAGTGCGAAGGAAGAGGAGATTTTGGGTATTGATTATGTTTTCTTAAGTTCTGAGGAGGCTGGGGTTTCGGAGGGCATTGTTGTGTCATCTGAGCTCCCCAATTCTCCTATTGTTATTTTGGAGCCTTTAGTTGATGTGCCCATTAATGTCATTTCTAATACTGGTATTTTAGCTCACCTAATGAAGAATAATGTTAGGAGCCAATGTGACTGGTTAGAGTAGGACATTTTTTTAGTTGAAAGGAGAGTTAGATTTGGTCGCTTATGACAATATCGATTTAGATCTTCTTCAAGTTACAGATGGTGGTTGTTCCAAAAATAATGTTAAGCTCAGCAAAAGCAAACCCAAAAAGAGATTACTTTTCTTTTTGGGGTCTTTATGTTTTGGTTTGCTGGTTTATTTTGATTTTGGTTCTATGGCGGCATCATTTTTGGATTAGGACTATGATGAACTAGGCTTCCTGCAAGCTCTTTGGAAGGCCATGGCTTGGTTGGCAACCTAGGTGGTTATGTGGTCCTTTGGCTGTTTTCTTTTTCCCTCCTTGGATGGTCCCAAGCTTGGCAACTAGGGGCGGTCTGAGTCCTATTGGCTAGGGTATTTCTAATTTGATTTTGCTTAGAGTGCTTGGCTCGATCGTTTATTGTATTTTTTTGCTGTAACTTTCATCTATGTGGCCATTAATTAATCTTGTGGTGTATTGTTCTTTCTCATTAATATGCCCTTTTTTTCTTAACAAAAAAAACCACTTCGCTAGAAGTTGTGTCCTTAAAAGCTCCATCTTTAGAAGCTTTCAAATCATCACATTCAAGAATTTCAATTGCAGTATCACCCATCACCTTCATCAACAACTACAATTTGTAAAATAAGTTATTATTTTACTCAAACAATACATTTAAATATTATTAGAAATTTTAAAAATTCACTCTGAGTTTGATTATTTGATGTTAAGTTAGCCTCTTCAGTAGATGGAATGAGATGCAATTTCTAAATTTCATTCGATAACAACAATCAAATTCAGGAGTAAATTCTACATCAACAATAAAAAAATCACTTGATATAAATAAATGAGATATAATTATAAATAATTGTGACAACGTAGTACTTGAATTCTTCAATTAATATATATTCTAAGTGCATTTCATATCAATATTATTTAAACAAGTCGGCTCCCGAGCTAATGAGTCAAGTCAGACCTAGCACAAATTGACCCATCGAGCTCATCTCATGAGCTATTAACTGAGCCGAATCAGAGCTAGCTCAACTCAGTTACACACTTAATCTCCTCTAAGCCTCTTCTAACCCTCATATCCTAGTTCCACAGGTCACTCAAAAACAACAAAGAAATGAACTATATAGACTTCAATCCTTATCACATTCCATTAGCTTTCTTTCCAAAATATTAACCTTCCCCACACAAGAGAAATTAGTTTGTGCGGACACCGAACATGAAGAACCGTCCGATCATGTGAGTGTACATATTTAGCACACACATATGACAGGATAGTTCTTCCCATCCGGTGTCCACACAGAATAATTTCTCCGCACACAGAACAGTAAATCTCTACACATAAAATGTTAGGAATAAAAGGCAAAACAAAAAAAAAATAATACTAACCCAAATACTAAAAATATAAACTCAATCAACCCTCCTAAAATTCCAAGCCGACACAGAGAACAGAGCTCTATCCTGCCAACAAAACAGAAAGCAGCCGTTCTCCTCCTTCACTCTATAACCATCGCAACCGAAGCCCTGTAACATCCTTCTTGCCTGCAACATCCCGTAGTAACTCAACGGCATTCTCCCGAATCCAGCCATTTCCAACCTCATCATCCACCTTTCAAGCTTTTCATGCCTCTCCTTCCTCTCCAACCCTTCACAAGCCATTATGTTCTTTATCTCCTCCCCAAAGAGCTTCTTTTCCACGCTCAACCTCTCCAATGACTGTCTTGGCAGCGTTGATTCTAGGCAGTCGAACAACGCTGCGTAGAAGTTCAGCGCTTCCACGAATCGCTCGTTCAAAGTCGATCCATTGTGGTTGGATTCCTGCTCTGTTACCACCATGATTTTTGGAGAGAGGCTCCATAAAGAGGCTAGAAAGGTCTCCATTTTGGCAGAGGGGGTGAGGTTGAAAGGCGAGGAAGAGGAATCTGAGCCTTGGTCTTTGTCCAATAGTTCTCCCAGCGTGCCGGCGGACTTGAAAGGGAAGAGCTTTCGGGCGGCGGCGATGTCGTCTGAGGCGAGGAGGGAATGGAGTTGGAGAACAGAGTTAATGGCGAGTGCTTCCCCTGTTTTGACACGTAGGCTCTCGACGTTGAGAGAGTCGAGTTTGGAAACCACCGCGTTGAATTGAAATGGGATGTCGAGTTTCTCTGCTTCTTTTGATAGAACTGAGGCTGTGTGCAGGTGAAGCTCCTTGTGCTCGCCGACAGCGGTGACCCGGAGATGCGGCGGGCCTTCCGGCCTGCTGGCGAGACCTTGAAGCAAAGCAAGCCATTGGGCCGGATCGGATCCCCCAAGATCGACGATGTGGACCATCTTTTCCCCTTCCATTGCTTCCAGAATAGCCTGGTTTGAAACGAGGAAGGAGAGACGAAGGAAGGGACAGAGATCAACAAAGAGGCGGCGGGCGGCGGCTGTGGCGGAGGAGTCTGCGGCAACCGGATTCAAGGCGCGGTAAAGGCCAGGCCATGAGCGGAGGAGGCGGCGCGCAAGAGCTTCGGTGAAATAAGAGGCGATGCGCTGCATGGTATCGCCTTCAGGAGAGGCGAGGAGAGAGATATGTTCAAGAAAGGCGTTGGCTTGATCGAGATTACCGGCGGCGACATGATTGGCGCAGTTGAGGAGCAGATGGATGAGGAAAAGGCCGCGCTCGTCGGACTTGAGCTCGCGTAGCCATGGCGAGTACGGCGAGCCCAGCGCCGTCGGTGAGATCGACATGAAGCTGAGGAGAGGGGAAGATGTCGCCGACGAGGAAACCTCTTCGGCTACTCCGGACATCAACATCGGAAACAGTCAAAGATCGCTTTTTTAAGCCTTTGTTAAGAAGATATTGATAGAATACAAGAAAAAAAACCCCTCTTCTTCCTCTTCTTTATAAGAGCTGAGAATAAAAAACCAAAATAGAGAAGAGAGAGAAACAAAAACTAAGAAGCTGTGTCAAACTATCATAGGAAGAAAAAAAAGAGGCAAAGGCTAAAACGGAAACGCCGAAACAACCACAAAAACGAACGAGAAAAAGGAAGAACTCGCTATATCTCCGTCAATGGAACAGTTTGGGGTATTAGGCTAGGAGAAAGACAGAGAAGGTCATTCGGATAGCAAGTGGAAGCTTCTTAATGGATCCAAAGCAAGCGAATTGAGAGAGATGAGAAGAGAAGCAAGAGGCTTATATCATCAATTAGCGACCTGTCCCTCTCTCTCTCTCTCTCTCTCTTCTCACGGCTACAAAATATCCGTTGTATTTCTTCCTCGCAACTTTTTTCTTCTGCTTGCGGAGCGAGAACCGAGCTGTGCTACGCGGCAAGTCAAAAGGAGATGCATGAAAGCGGCCGTTTTGAATGGGTGCGTAAACGGACAAAAGACGATGCTTTTGTCCGCATCGATTAGGTGTCTGTCTGTTAGTGCAGAAGCATATGGAATTTATGAGAAGAAAGCCAATATTTTTTCAATTCTTTTTTTTTTCAAAAGTAAAAAAAAAAATTACTCCAAATTATTTATTAAAAATTTACATACAAGAGCATTCCAAATATTTCATTAAAACATTAAATTTTAACCAATAAATATATGAATAAGGGAGGTTTGAATTTTATAAATATAAATATAAATTTCATATTTTAGTAGACATTAGATTAGTAGTATAAGTCAGTCAAATCAGCTCGTAAGTCAACTTGAATTCAACTAGCTAACGAGCTCATGAGTCGAGCTTATCGAATAATAAATTCGAGTTCAAGCATAAATTCGAACAAATAATTTATAAGAGTTCAAGCTTAATATGCACCCAGCTCGAAATGCTTGCTAGTAATAATTGTTTAATGATAAGCAACTCTTTAGATTTTTTTTTTAGAAAATTTATGAGTATTTTAAGTAATTTTTATACATTTTTATATCTAATGTAAATCTTGACTGAAATTAGAGGCAAATCCAAATCTTTGAAGAAAAATAAAAAATATTGCTATTTATTAATTTTTCTATAATAAATATACATTTTTATGTATATATTTTGACTCAATTATGATAATAAAGTGTTAGTTATATAAATTTTAGAGTTTATTTGTTAAGATATATAAATTTATAACATTGCGATTGCTATTTATTAATTTTTCTATAATAAATATACATTTTTATGTATATATTTTGACTCAATTATGATAATAAAGTGTTAGTTATATAAATTTTAGAGTTTATTTGTTAAGATATATAAATTTATAACATTGCGTGATTTGTAAGTAAATCCTCTTATAATGTATATATATAGTATAAAATGACTAAAAAATATTTTTATATGATAATGTAAAAGTTATTTCTTCAAATCTATATAAAAGATATTGCATCTCGCTCCATGCCTTTCCCTAACTTATTAATATATAAGAAATTTCAACTAAATTAAAAAATTTGAAATATAATTAGTTATTCTATTTAAAAATAAAGTATAGATTTAAATAATATTACATTATTCTTCAAACAAATAATTGATATAACATCAAATAAGTAAAATTCATTTCATATTATTTTTCTTTCTCTCTCCCTTTTCTCTTATAAAATAAAAAAAAGAGGATAATTCTAGTCAACTAAATGAACCTAACGACACTAAGAACATCCTAATATGGGTCCAAATGGCCAAAATCAAGCACCTAAAAATAAACTTTGTGAGACCATTTGAAGGGGTTTTTTTTTTTTTTTTTGCATTTTGTATGCCTCTATAAAAAATGGGGGTTTTGACTAGTTAAATTTAACGTGCTAAAGATCATTCAATTGTGAGTTCATTAAGACACTATAATACAAAATTACAGATCAAATGATTAAAGGAATCTTTCTAGGCTATCAATAGAGTGTCCAAAGTTATGGTAGAAATAAACAAACTACCTTCAAAAAATTATAAATAATCCAACATTTTATATAAGGTGGGATGATTTTCAACAATGAGAAATTTGAAATGCATATACAATTAAATAGTTTTATCCATTATCACACATCTATCGTTCATCATTGGTTGATGCTGAGATCTATTATGACCTTGTTATCATTGCTTCCATCGATTAATGTCGATAATCACCTTTGTTGTGTGTTGTCATTTGTCTTTGACTGACGCTGAACCCATTGTTGCTCGTACATCTAGCCCATCACCATCCAAGTTGCTAACTGATGGTGGCGAACATTATTTTTTACCATCAAACTAGTAAACTCCACCACTTTCTTACACACTATACAAAAATTGCTTGAGACACCCCTTTCAATTCAATTCTTGAAATCTTGCTTTCTCTAGGTAATATTTATCTTACATAATGGAACTAATTAAACTAGGCCAAGTTTTATGGTTTTACCCTTTCTTAATTTTTTACATAAAAATGATGCGTTCTCTATATTATGAGACATTTATCCTTATGTGAGCTTGTCTATGAGTTTTTGCATAACACCAAGAGGATAAACTCTCACCCTATAGTAGTCAATACTCTAATACATAAAAATTTGACGCATTTAGGGGAAAGCACGTCCTATATTCTATAATATGACAAATCATCAATAATACCTCTATCATTGAATAAGCATGGCATTTATAATAATTGAGGATCTCAATCCAACTCTGGCCTTTCAAGGAACTCTTATCTAATTTAAGGTCAAGCTTTTTCATTTTCACCTCCCAATCAAATGAACTCTACCAATAAATGATCCAATGAAATATCTCTTATGGGTAAAATCCATCATATAGAGGAATCACAAGCTATGATCCTTCATCTTCTATGTAAGAGCTCCCACCAACATATAGATTTTGTCTTCCTTAAGAATGAATGTTCTAATTGAGGATGTCCAAGCAAATGTCTACTAATAATAAGTTGAGGCTCCACCAATGACAACCTTTATTATTCAACTAACTCCATTTACCTATTCTTTAGACTTGTGACACATCAGTTGTCATGAAAAATTTACTCTCTCATCTAGATAATGGTATATAGTGTAATGCAATTTGTGATGTAGTTTAAAGTAAACCTAGGAGGATTTTTCTTAGGAAATGAATTCCAACCTCTACCTTGAAAATTCATAAGTTCCTTACAATCATTAATTTCATTCTATAACAACTCTTTCCAACAAGGTCAAGTTGTTTGTTATAAAGTTATATGATGGTTCCTACGACCTTGATGAGCTTCTAAATCATTATAGGACCATCATAAATATCTCCAACAAACCTTCAATGAGTTCCTCTATTTGTTCATACCACCCACCCTAAGCTAAATGGCTAAGACTATATTTGGTTCAACGCCCCCACCACTAACAATAGAACCTTCTTTCATACTTTCACTTAACTTATCAATTTCGTTGTTGAATAATTCACTATGAAGTAAAGCAATATCGATAAATTTTCACACCCATGAAGGAATATTTCAAGATATTCGTCTCAAAAGCTTACCAAATCTTTGAGGTTAATCAAGATCTGATACATGGGTGTTATCCTCATTAGGCTCAGTTCAAGATCATTTTAATCATTATCAATGCATGACACATTCCACTATCACCTCATTCACCATGTTGAGGTCCATATTATAGTTTAAAAGGTTATTATTCTTAGTAAAATAGTTCAAACAACATTAGATAAATATGAACACATAGAACAATGGAAAAATTGACCTCAGGCTTGCAAATCCAAAAAAAAAAAAAAACAAGGATTTTGGTGGAAAGGAAACATTGAAACATAAACACACAACTGCAATTTCAATTTCTACTATTAAACAAGAAAATTCATCAAGAATCACAGCCTAAGAGTATCCAACCGGTTGAACCGGCCGGTCCGGTCCGGTTTTCAAAACGTTGAAAATAAGAGTATCCAATAGACTATCTATTAAAAGCATAAGCTTGCTATGCTAAAAGTGAGAGATCTTGCATGGAGTCTAAGAATAAGGGTAGAATAATGCCATGCATGGATTAATCAATGAGTGGTTAGAGATAAAAATTACAATACATAGAAAAGACATAAGGTCTAACATGGTTCAATCAACAGCTTATGACAGTTATGGGCTTAGCTAATTAAGAGGAATTATCTCCACTATATCAAATAATTATGGTACTTAATAAAAGTCATATAAAAGCCTGAGGGGAGAGGGAAGGAGGGTGAGAGGAGAGAGAGAGAGAGAGAGAGAGAGGATATGCTCCTTAAATAAAGATTAATAATCTCTAAGATATATGAATGGGTGCTATGAATGTCAAATAATGTACAATAATAGAGGACTCAAAAAAGGTTCTTAATTGAGCAAGCAACATTGTATTTATAGTGGTCATCCTCCTCAAAAAGTAGCCTAGATGTTCATGATTGTCTAAGAAAAATGCTAGAGGATGGCATAGCATGTTGAAGCTAATGAGCATGTCGATAAGGAATTGTCAAAGATCTAGCATTCTAGTTTAAGTGCAATAAGGGCATGCTAATTATACAAGAATCAAAATTTTTTATGACATTATAGTAATTAATACAAAGAATCAATAATAAAATGCTTTGAGGTTGGTGCAAATGATAATTAATGGCATCGAGGAGAGTGTCTTAGGTACACCAAAAGGAGTTGTGGCGTACGTTGAATTCTTGAAAAAATTGCCTAAGAGGTGACAATCACCATGTAAGTGATATTCTCAAGATCATTCTCAAGACTTGACACAAGAGAACCCCTTAACAAGCTTTGAGATGTTCATGTATTCATTGACGATAAAAAAAGTGAATGACTAAGATTGGTTTGGGACTTGATAATATCTTAAGGTTATAATTTTCATGTCATTTTGATCTGTTCTAAATACATTAGAATGATTTAAAATGTACATAATAAATAGTAAAATGTTATGCATTATTTCATTTACTATTGAGTGTACTCAGTCCCTCGCTATATATGAAAAAGATTACATATTCAATTTTTAGTATAAGAATTAAAAATTTTATACTAGAAAGTTACTTTAAGAAGCAGTAAGAAATCCATCATAAATGAAGCATACACAAAAACTCTTCTCCCTTTATCTACTAAATAAAATGAGAAATAATTGAACGAGAGGAGAAGAAGAATGAAGCTTATGGTTGTGGCAATGTGATGCAATCATCAATTGAATGTACATAATAAAAAGCTCTTAGTATTTTACGGTTGATATTATTTGTGCTTTTTATTTTTTTGGGTCTCTATAGTTGCATAGATTTATGTAATTTCCAACACCAAAGTCATGGCATGACATAAAAATTGATATATCATAAAAAAAATATCTTGATCGGGCACGAATCCCGAGGCAAAAATCAAACCAGAATCTTCAAAAATTAAATCTGGGATCACC